AATCAAGAAGTAAAAGGATGCTGATTTTTTGAATAATTACCATTGTATCAATGAATGCATACTGTTGCAAAAAAGGAGTTGAGCAAGAGTAGAAAAATCTGAACCGACTATCGATGGATGCATGTTTACTGACAAGAAATCGTATCATATCTCTTTTCACTAGAGAGAATAATAACAAACAAAACAACAATTAGATTACTCGTTTTTCATGCTTTCGATTCATATATAAAAGTTCGAAAAAGACCTTCTTGGTTTGAAAATATAATTATCCAAAATTGGCTGATATTGTAGCTAGATAAAACTGCTCGTATCTCGCCTCACAGAGAATCTACGAAAAAAGAGACGGTCTATGTCGATTCCTCGTGTTCTTAGCTATCGAATGGTGTATAAGGTGTTGGTGCACAAAACTTTCCCAGTCCAAAAAAGTCTTGCTCCGGCAACCCATAGAAAGCCGGAGCGGGGTGGAGCAAGTTACTATTGGATATCTCCACCTCATTTTTGAGAAACCACAAGTTTTTTCACTTGACAACCTGTATACCATTAGAAAGCCCACAAAAAAAGGATTCGACGTAGACCGTCTCTTTTTCTCTAGCTCCCCTCTACTTAGAGTTACATGGGATTTTAGCCAAAAACATGTGTGTTTTTGTCGAGAAATTTTTGCGTGAAGAATGGGTAAAGGTGCCTGATTTTCTAACAGCATCACAGAGCAAGACCTTGCCAGTAAACGTAGACCGTCTCTTTTTTAATCTTTGTTCTTTCTTTCAAAAATGAATTACAAATTAATTACACAAAATTAGCTGGTGAGTAGGCGTACAAAATTGCTCGTATCTCGCTCTACAGAGAAGGTATGAAAAAAGAGATGGTCTACGTCGTTTCTCCATGATCTCAGCTTTCGAATGGTGTAAAGCATGTTGGGGCTTTTTCGCTTCCCGGCTCTAAAAAGCACTTGCTCTGGTGACCGATGAAAGCCAATACATTGGGGGAGCTGGGTGGAGCAAGCTAATAGTAAATACCTCCACACCATTTTTGAAAACTGGCAAGTTTTTTTCGCTCAGCAGTCTATATACCATTCAAAAGCTCAGGAAAAGGGGACTCGACATAGACCGTCGAATTCTTTCTAGCCGCCCTTTACCGAGAGATACACTGCATTTTATCTGAAATCATGTTCATTTTCAACAGCAGATTTCTGCCAAACAAAGACCTAATCACTGCTGGTTATCTATCTGCGTTACAAAGCAAGTCTTCATTAACAAACGTAGACCGTCGGCTTTCTCGCAGCATTCATTTGGAGAGCAGAAAGTGAGGACACATTAGTTGATATATGAAGTACATAAAATCCCTCATATCTCGCGGCACAAAAGGCCTAGAAAAAAGCCGACGGTCTATGCCGATTCTATATGACCTCAGCTTTCGAACGGTGTGTAACTTGTTGGGGCGTTTTGCTTTCAGGGCTCACTTACCCCCTTCACCCTACAAGGATGGGAGTAGCAGAGACCCCCTTCACCTGGAGAGGGCCCGGCTCTCCCTATCGCACCTATGGGCGGAACATTCTACGTGGAACAGCGCGTGCTCACCGCTGGAGGTTTCGCGAGCGCATAGCGTTGCCATTTTGCCAGTTTAAGACTAAGGGGAATGAAGAGACGCAGACTTGCGTTCTCAGCACGAAATGGTGTACGGTAGCTGCGTAACGGCGCGAACAGTTGCGACGCGGACGCCCGCCAGTCCAAGTTCCGCCTAAAGCGGGTCGAACTTTATTGTATAGGTACGAGTGTTCACTGTGTTAGCGTGCTCCGGGAGCGCAAACCATGCGCGCTGGCTAGTTTTACATTGGGTATGGGGCGAGCTTTGCGCAGCCATGTGTAAATTTATAGTAAATTTCAACTCAGTTTAGGCGGAAATTGGGTTGGCGGGAGTTCGCTTCGCAACGATTCGCGGTGCTTTGCAGTCTGCGTCTCTTCATTCTAATCTTTCTGGAGATCCTGTGGCGGTGCGTACGCGCTGCTCCACTTGAATGCTTCGCCTACTCCGGGTTGAAGAAGACTGTATAGGTGTGCCAAATGTGGCTTACAGTCTAGTTCAAGGTTTAGTGAGCCGTAGAGTCTACCAATTCACAGCGCGAGGTCTGGTATGACATATCCGATTGATGGGGCTCTCGAACGAAACATACTCTCGCATCGCATCATTAGAAAGAGACTTCACAATTGGCATAGATTGTACAGTTTGCTTCAGTCCGGAATAGGCGAAACGTTTCACGTGGAGCAGCACGTCCGCATCGCTGGAAGCTTCGCGAGAGCACAGCGCTGGGCATTATTCCAAGCAGAGACTGGTCGCCGAAAAGGGCGGTCCTGCGCAGATATTTGCAACAAACCTCGAGCCTTTACCATCACTGTCCATGCTGGCTGTCCGTGTGGGTGGAGCCCATCGGCGACCTAACGACTTTCACTCAGGGGAATGAAGAAACGCGGACATATGTTCATTACAGGCTGCTGCATTCTTACTGTTCCCGAAGTGCGGTAACAGTTCCAGCACAGCGCTCGAACTAAGCGCTATGCTGGAACTGTTCCCCAACTTCCGGACCAGTGTGAACGCAGACTGCTAAGCACGATATCTGTATAGTAAGTTTCAACTCTGTTTAAGATTGGACTGGCGGGGTTGGGGGAACGAACTCCGCCAGTTTGAGCCCGCCTTCGCCGGCAACTGGTCCTCTTGCTATATTGTTGCATGTCATTACAGGACCAGTAGTCCCCGGAAGCGGTTGGTTCAAACTGATGGAGTTCGTTCCCCTACCCGACTGGCGGGAGTTCGCTTCGCAACGATTCGCGCCGCTATGCTGTCTGCGTCTCTTCATTCTAATCTGTCTCTGAGCCAGTGGCGGTGCGGGCGCTGCTCCACTTGGGATGTTCGCCTACTTCAGGTTGAAGACTGTAGCTGCGAAACGGCGGAGCCTTTGCGAGGCGGATGCCTACCAATCCAATCCCCGCCTAATCTGTGTTGAAACTAAAGGCTACTGCATGACGAAGGCGCAGAAGCGGTATTAGCTGAACGGGCACGAACGCGACGCGCGCGTATCCTCACTGTTGTGTCGTTTGTTCCCCAGCAAAATTCCCGTAGGTGCCACGTCATTTCGCTGCCTTTCGCTTCTCTGAACGTGTTAACCTCGGGCAGTTCCGTTTTAATCTCAGGACAAACGTGTCAAAAAGAGCGAAAGGCAGCGTCGCACCACGTACGCACGCTGGTTTACATGGGAACTTTTCTGGGGCACACAGGGTAGATTCTGCGCCTCATGCGCTCTGCGGCCAATAAAGCCACGTTCGCGCCTAGAGATATTCAGCCTTCGTCATGTAGCAGCCTATCTATCTAATCTAATATACAAAGAATCGTAACGCCCATTCAAAAATCTGCAAATAGCGGAAAACCCCGGTGCGGTCCCGAAGCGCGGATGGAAAGCCCTTCAATTACTGGTTCACTAGTATTTACATAGTAGAAAAATTTAAATGCTCAAAATAACATACCGTAACCTGCGTCTTTCAATAAGCTGGGGCACGTTTTCATGTAGGGACTTGTGCGATATGCGAACGATATGCGACAAAATGGGCTGGATGGGAGATAGACACATTGAGCGGATGGAGTTATGACTGCTTGCTATATGTCTCACTAGATCACTAGGTAGTAGGACACAAATACGATTGGGTAAGTGTTGTCTTGCCCAACCTAGTCCCTACACATCCCTCTTTTTTGATAAGGACGTCTATAAATACTTGGTGATAAAATAACATTTCTTTGCATGATAAGTTTTCGTTCCAAGTGAGTGGGAAAGTGGTTGTTGTTATGAAGCGAAATGTTGTGATACTTCCGCTTGCAACGTCTTCCCGCAAGAGTAGACGTTTGCAAGTATATATCATTTACCATAATCGAACATGGTCGTCGCATGTACTTTGAACAATTCAGAAATTCCATGCATCTTTTGCAAGAAAAAACATTTGGTTATTTGCAATGAAATTTGAAGAAGCATACTACACGATAGCTTTCTTGCCAGACTGCCTAGAGCGAAGGGATATTATCACTTAACTTTCCGCGCAACCCTACCCGAAGAGGGTAGTTTATCCAAAATGGCTATACAGAGGGATTGCGTGTGCACAAGAAGAGGAAGTAAATCTCTACTTCAATCATAAATTCTTCTCTTGCAAGATAAACAACAGTTTTGTTACAAAGGTTTGGTTTCCCCATGATCGATCTGGTTGCAACCAGACTTCCAACATCTGCACCTATGTGTACCTTAGCTGTATGCAGAGGAAAGTCTATCAACTTCTTGAGCAGCTGATAAACATTGTCGCAATGACTTTGGGAGCTTCGGAAACTCTCACTGTTGATAGAAGCGTTCCATCCAATGTCTAACTTCTAATTAGTGCCGCAGTGCTGCTGTAACTTGTTCCTATAGGTGAATATATAGTGAACGGTATAGGACTCCATTAGAAATGCCTAACGAAGGACTTAACCGAAGCATTCAGTGACGCCAAAGCAAAAGGAAACATTGACGGGCTCCCGCCCTCTGCAATTTGTTCATGTGTTCACGCAAGGTTTCAAATAGGGGATAAAAGGGGACTCGTAGCTTTCCTGCGCTAAAATGACGAACTCGTAGCTTTCCTGCGCTAAAATGACGACATACACATATGCATGCGAAGCCGGGGCTGGAAAGGTGCGTCCTCCGTAGAAAACCTGCGCGATGAGCGCAGTACGGTATGTTATTTTGAGCATTTAACTTCTTCTTATTTATATCCGTCGCCTCCTAGGTGTCCGAAGTTCGGTCGATTGGTCAAGGCAAATTTCTGTTCATTTGCATAGGTTGTTCGCAAAAATTTGTTCGAACATCGACGATCTCTGTCGCGGTAAGACCGCGGCGTTTCCAGACACCGACCGAGCTATAGGACATTTACACTCTCATAATCCTCCTTTTATGCTTTTGATTTCATTTTTATATGAGCTTGATGTTCCCACATTTCAGGAAATTTCGATCTTCCAAATCAACGACAATGGATTCTTCTTCTGACGAAGCAAGTTCGCATCCAAGGTAAACCTTTTCTGATTATTATATATTGCTATTATTTTTGGGTGTTATCGGAGGGGATAGTTCCTCTTCATCCAAGATATGTGAGCCACTAATAGGCCAGCCCAAATCCACGCTCAACATCGTCTTCTAGTCATCTGTCATCTGTTTGCAAGGACCACGAGCTATGTTGCGCTTGAATATTCAGGTTGATACTGCAAAGTCGTTTTATAAATTAACATGTAATTTCTCTTACTTGTGACTAAGTCTTTTCAATCCCGCTTCAAACATATGACATATGTCCGGATCTGACATTTTAGTCCGTCCAGATTTGCCTGTTTTTGATCTCGCGCGGCAGATCCACGTTCCCCTTTTTGCAGATGTAAGGTCCCGGACATAGTTCATGTATGATTGGAGAGAGTCTTTAGCAGAGCGCCAATAGATGATCCAGCGCTTCTTGTTCAATGTTACTTATGGCATCGGATCCTGTATCCGCCCTCACCCCCACCCCAAATTGGCGCCTGCCATTTTAGACCGAAGTTTTTTTTTGGGGGGGGGGGGGATCATTTGTGAGCCAATTGTAAGGTTATAGAACACATCTTTGTGGTAAGATTGTGAAGTAGATTGATTGATGAGGTAGTGAAAAATGGCTAGATGCAAGTAAGTAATGAATGTCCAAAATGTCCAACGACAACTGACCCTATGCGTGTAATTACCCACGCAGGGGTGCGTTAATGTAACCTTATAGCTGTACAAAGCTTTATGTCGCTTGGGAACCATGGTTTTCATTCTCCTCTTCCCAAAATTCCATATTTTTTGTTCCTTCGTTTTTTTTCATTCTTTCTTCGCTCCTCTTTTTGAATGAACTACTTGGCATCCGCAGCACGTCCTTATTGGCTGAGCGTGGAAGGGTGTATCCCACTACTTGTGACTGCCAATTAGGCCTAAGGCATACTTCGCGCGACTCGGCTGAATCGCGACGACGTTCACGCGAGTTGGCAGTTTTCCAAATTTATCGTGCACGGTCCTCCAACACATGGACGCGTAGCTTCTGTAATTTGTTGCAAGCCGATTAAATCCTGCCTTGAAAGAGCGCTCTGGCGACCAATTATGAGAAGTAGTTCCGGTATCAAATCGCGTGAGGTACGCCTTAGGCCTTACGCAGGCGCCGCGCACGACAAGCTGGCAGTAATCGTTGCGAGGAAAGCTTAGGTAGCATACTGCAAGGCATACTACTCCATCTTTTGTGAAGGTTTTTACACTATCACATCAAGTTTTTTCTTTAATGAAAGTTTAGCCCCGAATCTTGCAAAAATGTAAAGTAGTGAACGGAAATATGGAAATACTTCGTAACTGGTCACAAAATATGTACTTTTTCTTCATTATAACAACGTGATCCGTAAACATGGCGCTATTCCAGAATACAAACCCAAAAGTTAAAAACCTCGAATTTTGCTAGAACTTTGCATACAGGGGTTGTTTGACATGCTGATCACGAAAACCGTACTCATTTTGCATGAAAGGACCATTTTTATGGAGGTTACGGTAGGTATACGGTAGGGAGTCAAAATCACGATTCACCTGAAATTTGGTGTAGAGGGGTTATGCGACCCACTGATTACGAATATCACATCCATTCCTCACCATAGAGTCATATGGTAGGATTGCGGTAGGTAAACCGCGGAGTCAAAATCTTAGATTCGGCTAAAATTTGGTCTAGAGGGGTCATTCGACATGCTGATCACGAATATCGCACTTTTTCCGCGCGAGAACCTCTCCCTGTATTTTTACGGTGGATGTGCGGTAGGGGGTCAAACTCTGAATTTGGCAATCTGGTCTGGAGGGGTTTAGCACGCTGAACATGGATATCATATTGACTTTGTACGGTAGCGCCATTTTTTCGAGTTACGGTAGGTACACGGTACAGGGGTGAAGATTTGAAACTTGCTTAAAACGTTGCCTAGAGGGGTTTTCAAGTATGCTGATAACGATATCAGGCTTGCTCCCCACAACAACGTTTTGTTCTGGAGTTATGGCGATTTGTAGCGCTTAGGAAAGCATCTTCCCCGCTTTTCAGACCAATTAAGATCCCAGAAATCCATGAGAAGGCCTTATAAGCGGAATGAACACGGTTTTAGTGATGAGCAGATCAAATGAAACCTCTGCACGTTTCAGGCAGATCTACGGTTTTGACCCCTTACCAAATACCTACAGTAATCTTACAAGAAGAGGTTTTTCGTGCGGGAAAAGTGTGGTACTTGTAATTAGTATGCCCCATTTCGCAAAGTTTTAGCGAATTCTGAGATCCTGACCCCATACCATAATCCTACCGTAACCCCACCATAAGGCGTTTTCGTGGGGAATGTATATGATATCCGGGTCAGCATGTCGAAAACCCTCCTACCAAAGTTTTGGCGAGTTCTGAGATTTTGACCCCCTACCGTAAGCCTACCGTAACAAAGAAGGCCCCACCATGCAAAATAGATATCATTTGGGTCGGATAACCCCTCTACACCAAATTCCAGGCGAATCCGAAATTTTGACCCCCTACTGATGCCTACCGTAACCCCGCAAATATGGTCCTTTCATGCAGAACAAGTACGATTTTTGTGATCAGCATGCCAATTAACCCCTATATACGAAGTTTTAACAAAATCCGAGATTTTTAATTTTTGGGTTATTCTGGAATAGGCGTAAACACTTCCTCTGGGATATTGGGTGTATGTCAAGAGGCGCGATTTTTATTGCCAGATAGACACCAAATAGCACATTATAAGTGTTCTGCAACTTTCTAGAAGTATATGAATTCTAGAAGAAGATATATTAAATAGTTGCATGAATTGTTCAATCTTGATACTCTCGAAAAAATTCAACAGAGCAAGTTTGAAGGTCAGAAACTCATGAAAACGCATTTCAGAACAGATTCGTAAATATTTCTGTCCGATGTATAACAAAAACCATGAAACTCAGCAAGTGGTGACCTTAGACAGATAGTAAGCTAATGTACTTTATCTGGTAATTTTTGAAGACTTGCATAGCACTAAACTGGAGATTGAAGTTGGTGACAGCCAGAGAAATCGCGCCTCTTGACCGTCTCCCGACACCCACAAGTAATGGGTGCCCCCGCGTAAAAAGCGGATGTTCGAAAAGTTTTTCTGGTTAATCTTGCAGTTTTGTCGAATAGGAGTGGAGTTGAAGGGTTCAAACCTTTGGTTGTATGTAACTTGTGAGTTGCTGGCTGTTTACGTTCCAACTCGTTTTTTGTAAGGTATTTGGGGCTTCCTAAATGTCAGTTCTTTCATTGGAGGTTTCAGTTCATATCTGTGAGCGGTTTATGACAATCTAGGCTCAATTACATGATTAGGAATTATTAGAATCTGTCTTTGACCTGTTTTCAAATTTCATCTGCTCTTCCCATTGATTTCTTTACTGCTTTCATACAGTTTGAACATTTTCTCAGTGCATAACAATAGGGGATGGCAATCTGCTGGCAGTAGCAGAGCTAGTCCTGCGGTTGCAACTAAAGGCGACGCAACGAGAATGCCCCTCAGGATATACCGCACGGGAATGCGGCGTAGCTTTGCTCCATAACGCCGCCACGGCGGGTCAACGGTAGCTCGCTCAAGATTCCAAACTGGTCAAAACTTTGTCTAGAGAGATATTTCGGCGTGCTGATTGCGAATATCATACTCTTCTTGATCGGAAGATTTCGATGAGTTACGGAAGGTGTACGGTAGGCAGTCAAAGTCGCAGATCAGCCCTAGACCTTGTGCAAGGCGGTTCTCCGAGTGCTGACCACGATAGTGACACTCATATCGCGTGATAAGGCCTTTCGTTTTGAGATCTGGAATGGCTTGGAAAGCACGGAAAGTGATGATTTATACAGTGCAATCTGCGACAACTCTACAAAAAAGGCGTTATGGCAGCGTGCGAGCTTGATATGCGCAATCAGCATGCTCAAAGACCCCTTTGGGCAAATTTTAGAACATGGGAATTTCACCCCACTCACCCTGTAATTCAGAAGTAGTTACCTTGCGAGAGGCAGGGTGTGCAGGGGTTCCTAGCAGCCTTTCTCGCACCATAGTCAGCACAGGATTCGCATCCAGGAGGGTTCTACTACCTCCGAGCTCAGAAGTCAGGCCTCACATATTGCTTCACCCTTCGATTGGTCTCATTTGAGATGTGCGAGCAGCACAAACACAGATCCGGATATTGAGGTAATAAGAGTGAAAAATAGGGGAAAATGAAGAGTATAGGCATCACTTCATGTGTGAATCATATAAAAATATCTATACTGTAGCGTTCAGTGGAAACGACTGTGCATATGAGGTTCAGCAACGCTTTCCCAGGAGAGTATGAACTGAAAAAGAAGAAGCGTCTTTTTCTAGCACACTACATAGGTGGGAGAAAGGAATCTGAAGACGCAATTTTCATTGAATTTTGAGCATAATATAGTAATAAATTGGATTTATCTAGTAATTTTGAAACTGCAGCATAACTGCAGCAGCTCAGTGTTTCGAACCAACACTGCTAGATGATCAGATTGAAAAATTGTTTTCTCGAGTAAATGTTGCCATTTACTCAGTACTCGATTTGATTATTCGCATGCTGTTTGGATTCAAAAATCGACTAATCAAGTAGACACAATAGAAATCAACAGTTGTGTAAAGGCTATTGCATGACGACGACGCAGTGGCAGTATTAGTTGAGCAGGCGGGAACGCGACGGCGCGTATCTTCATCGTTGTAGATCATTAGCCTCATGCGCTCCGCAGCTGATAAAGCTGCGTTCGCGCTGAAAAGGTCTTGCGCCTTCGTCATGCAGCGGCCTATATTTTTATAGTCATATAAGAACTTTCCCGCAGAAATCTTTTTCTAAATTTACTCAAAAATTAGGTTGTCAACCCAGATGTTGGTTATAGGACATTCAGCAATCAACTTTCCTAATGACTGTATCTACAGGAAGGCTGGAAATTCCCTATAACTTCGACATCTAAAAGAACAAATTTCCGGTTTCCCTGCAGT